TGACGGTGATGCGACGGTGATGCAACGGTGACAGTAGTGGCACAACGAGAAAAAAAACATGATTCGCAATTTCTTTTCAATGTTGTATCGCGCATACGTAAAACACATTACATATATTATATACGAGACGTCTCGTATTTACATGAAATATATGTAATATATTCATACGTAATACATTAGATGCTAGTTTGTAATAATTATTCTTTTCTATGTAAGTCTAGTGCCTACGCGGACTTTACTAAGGCGATCAACTACGCGGATCTTTGTACAGTCGTGTGGAGAACTATGGGAAGTCTTCGAGAGGAAGAAATTGTTTAGTCGGTCACAATGTACTCGGTATTTCGACGTGTTGTTGCCGTTCTCGCTCAAACTACCCCGTGAAAGTATGGTATCGCGCCAGGTGAAATTATAATAATTTCACCTGGCAAAACCCGTACCAACAAAACGCATAGCATTGTCATCAAAATTATTATATACTAATTATGTACAATAAAGAGATGTCGCGCGATCTGTCTGTCGCGTCCGTAAATTTCTTGACAAAGTAGTTTCAAATAACGAACGCAATTTTTTCTCTGAATAAATGTGAAAGTATAAATATGATGAAAAATGAAAAGTAAGAAACGAGAAGAGTGCGACTCTAGTCCTGCTCTGGTCTGATCTTCGCTCAAATAATTTAATTAAAAATTGTTGTCTACCTTATCAATGACGCTAAAAAACAATGCGAGCCAAAAGACATGGTAGTGTTTTGCGTTAAATATATTTTTCCTACAGACACATAAATACATCTTTTCATCGGAAAAATGTTCTTCCGGAATAAACATTAGTGCAAAACTTGCAGTCGAAATTTTAGCATAACCAATGAAGTGACTTAAAAAATTTTATTCAAAAATATTTGAGCGGAAAACTTAATGAAATAGTTACTGTACTTGTAATGTGAACAAAGCTTACGAGGTACCTTCGAGGACATTCGAGCGACAGAATTAGATGAGGCCATTCTTTTCTTACTTTTCCGCAATGTTCACGCACGAAACGATATTACCCGACTTTGATATTTATCTTTGTCGTCGATTAAAACTACTTTCTTAGGCAATTATGAGAAAGAGGCCGCGTGACAAGCGTTAATATGTATATATGTATAAACACCGAGCGCGCCAGGCTTAGTGGCGGGTCTCTTAAATAATATTTATTGCGGCACTTGGTCAGAATACGCACATTTCGCGCTCGGTTTCGTTTTCTTTTATTCAGTCTATTACTCGAGCGCCTTTACCTGCGCCATCACTTTGCCCTCCCACAGTGGCAGAATCTCAGTATCGTCCGTTATCTCTTCTTGTATAACTTTCATATCTAAGTCGTCGCATTCCGTTTTGAAAAAGTATCTGCAATTTAAAACGAAGAGGTAATTAAAATTCACGAAATTATTTAGTTTGTCGTTAAGCAACGGTGCATTACCGATAGCTCCCTTTCTTCGGAAGATACTCCTTGAACTGCTTCAACGTGACGTTGTGACCAGGAATTTTGGTCCTGTAGGGGAATTGCTCGTCACAGAAACTGAACACAACAGTGGTGAAATCGTCCTGCTTCGGTTTCCTCAAAGTGGACTGATTGGATTGGACGTACGGTTGGCTCTGCGACGCAAACTCGTGCGTCTGTTTCGAAACGTTGAGGTGTCGTTGCTTGCAACTAGCACGGATTTTATTCTCTTCCATGAGTCTTCTACAAGTCTCCTCTAATTGTATAACCTGTGACATAATTATTCGTATCACACTCGTCCGTTCGGTAAACCAAGAAAAGAAAAGAACAGCTAGTCACCGTATGAGGTGGTGGCAGCGGTGGCATTCCCGGATCAGCGACGAACGGTTGAGCAGGTACCCCCATGTTCCACGTTTCTCTGTTTGGCCTTTCTAAGGACCCGCTACGCGAGCCGTACCTCTTGCCATGGCGACTACCATGCTTCAAATCAACCTTCTTGTCCATTTCCTTAAACCGCGGCAACAGACGAACGTCCTTGTTTACGGAAGGCTGCACGTCGCTGACCACGCTCACTCCACTATCCGTTAGTTCCGTCATTGACTTTTTCGTGGCTGACCGTCTCGTCATGTCCGACCTTCGGAATCTTTGGTCGTGACCTGCGCAAAAGACAACATTTTACATTTTACTAATGATCATAATTCGTACATACGATGCACGCGCATAGCGCCATTCGTTATATCTACCTTGAACGTGTAGATCCTGCTTGTGGTGGAAATCACCGTAATCCGATGGCACAGATTTAGATTTGGGCAGGTGTGAGCCTAGTGAACTCATGGAACCGGCTCCAACAAGATCGCTGCCCTCTTGAAAGTCATGGATATTACCGCTATCCACTGAGAATGTGGAGTCCATATCTTTTTCTTTCCTCTGCTTGTAAGGCCGTGGATAATTATGAATGGGACGCCTTCTCTCGGGTGAGAGTCTGGGTGATCTTGAAGGTGTTTGATCGGACCAGACGCGAGATACGTGCTCGTCGAGGATCGCCTGATCGCTGTCCTCCTCCATAGACAACTTTTCCTTCAGCGCGTCGCCGAGAGTCTTGGAAGCGCCACAAGTTTCTACCGACGCATCGTTACCGTTCGACGCGTCGTTGTCTTGATACAGATATTTCTCCAGTTTCTCGTTGGCCTTCTGCTCTCGTGCGACGATCTCCAATTTCTGCGTGAGCACTTCCGCGAATTGCTCCGTCGACATCTGTTTCGGGGATACCATACGCTGGGTTCGTGGGACGACATGGTGCGACATGGATTCGCGATTTATATTCGCGGACTCTTTAATTGCCCTACTTGATTGCTTGCTGTATTGCTTTTTGCTTCTCTGCCTATTGCTCGTCCCATCGCTGCGGGAGACAAATTGCAACACATACGGATTAGTAATGCATCACTGATATTAATGCAGTTGACACTGCACGATGCAAATTCTAAAAAGTTTAAAATGAAAGCTGGAGAGATCCTCCACTCTCTATGTCGGGTGCAAAATCGAAGAACGCTTGCGTAAAATTAAAATGAGAAACAGAACTTACATGGATCCGTCGTTGAGGGAGACATTGTCCACCTCGGTACGTGCATCACTGCTCAAACTCTGAAGCTCGGAATCCTGTCTGGATACTGGGTTGTAGGAGGAATATTGTGCGTGCAATCTGGATACGTGCATGTGATACGGACTAGCCCCATGTTGCAAGTAAATGCTATAAGTGCCACGCAAAATAGCAAAAAACAAAAACAACTAAATAAAAGACAAATAAAAATATGATGTTATATGTCAAACAAACGAAAAAAAAATGAAATAAAAAATTTGCATCTCCTGCATATGAACAAACTATCGAAAACGTTATTGAAGAATAGCGAATCTATCTTCTGGAGACGTCAATCACTTCGGAAATCGGTGATGATCAAATGTACACTTAAAATATAATTCAGATTATGCAAGTTTCATCACATCAAGCTTCAAAGGGAAAGAAGACAAAACGACAGCGTTGTTAAGGCATTCGCAGGATTGATCTGAAGCGTACTATACAGATGACGAATGGTATTGTAATAAGATTGGACAATTTTTTTTATGAAAAGTGCATTACCCGGCGTACGCTTCCGGCCTCGGTCGCACATCCATCGCTCTACTCTGTTGGGTAGCCATTAGCATATCTTTGGTCAATCTCAGTTCCCCGGGTGTCCCGCCGGTTGAGTGCGCATTGTGCATGTGTACACAACCGGTGCCGATGTACTCGCTGTCTTCGTGCACGGTGGGCAGCAGACTTGGTCCGCAGGAGATGGACATCTCGCGACTACCCGAACTCGAGCTCGGGCAACCGCCGGAATCGGGATTCTGGCAGGACTGAACATACTGCACGTACACATCAGATTGAAGAAAGTTGGGATACGTCGTCTCGTTGATCAGCCGCTCGACCTCCAGCTGCACGATGTCAAACACCTTGTGATCGGCGCGGCCCTCCTTGACCCGCCGATCCGCCTCCTTCATTACATCCTCCGGTATGCTTAGCTGCGACTTGAGAAAAAATCTTCGATAGATAAGCTTCACCAACTGCGAGATCTTCTCCATGTCCTTTTGTTCTTTGAGGCCCTCGCAGGCGAACCAGAAATTGAGCGGATCCAGATGCCCTTCCTGACTTAGGTACCTCTTGAACAACTCCAAGCCAGTCGGATCCTCTAATAGGGAGTGCAGATTTCTCGCCCACCGTGCGTAAGCAGGGGGCGAATTGCTCTCCATGGTAGTGGTTCCGCAACAACCCTCCGGTTCAAATCCCAGTGGTGCGGAAACATCGCAACTGCCAGAGGCCTGCAGTGTCGCGAAAGAAGAGCGTCTTGGTGTCAGAGCGGGACTCTGTGGACGGATCCGGCTGACATGGCTTCCAGTTTCCTCTCCTAAAACACATAAACATTTTGCTGCTATAAGATTTCAGCAGATCAACAGTCTTTTCGTTACGTAGCATATATCAAGTAAGTCTAGCTTTCAAAAAGATTTTTCTTAAAGCTACTTGAACAAACTCTTTACTAATTTACTAAAAAATATAGACTTTTAAATAGTACAATTGTATTTCCAGAAAAATAACAGTTTCCCATGGTTTGTTTTATATATACGTTAGCGTGTACTTTCTTAAACTTTTTTATTTAAATGCATTTTGTCTTACCTGGCACTGGTGGCCTGGGAGAGTTTTCATTGAAGCAACGCGCTTCGTTTTGCCGAGATGCGCTCATTCTATCTATTACGGCCTTCATATGCTATTTTATTATCTACACTTAATTTTTGCCCGCGATGCCTCTTAGTGGACATGGTTAGTCCCAACCTAAAACAGATAAATAAATAAATTTTATAATATAAATCTTACATGTTACAACAGTTTGCATTTTGTGTGAAAAGATACAAATTGTATCAAAGTAGAAATAACGGCTGCCAAGACACAAATCTCATTTAGAAATGTCATACAGTGGCATACTCCTTTGATATGTGGAATTAAAATAGAAACAAAAATCATTTGTGGCAGTTGCGCCTCCTAAATATTACTGACTTTAATACAGTCATATTTCTGTGAAAGAACGGAGCTGGTACACGCTACAAAGAAGGGAAACCTGGGGATGCTGGATCGATCGAGCTCTGTGGTGAGTCATATCTCTCAATTAAGCAGCTAAGGGAGGTTTTTCTGTTGTCAGGAACCTTAAGGGTGGAGCATGGCGGAGAAACTATAGGCCATCGCCTGGCAGACTGCGCAGAGGGATGCATTTTTGCGTGTACGTATGTATATGCACAACTCCTATTGGTCTGTTGCGCAGACCATTTGTATTGATCGACAAAACCTATAACGCAATCTATTGAACGTATCTTGCCAAGCACCAAAAATCCATAATGCGAGTTTAATATCCTCTATCAACTGACATTGAGCTCTAACACAGTGGAAAAATATTAATAGGTTTATAAGGTAAGGCAATCAGGGGAAAAGAGGCTATTATGCCTGTAGGGCCCGCTCCTTTGTTATGACAGGGCATTGAAATATGATTCACATGGGCCATACTTCAGCCTGAACCGCAAATGTGCAACTATCCGCTCGAGCAAGAGATATTACCCCTTGTATACATAATTAATTCACGAAAACTGCTTTCACCACGTCACAAAACACGTATCGCGGCACAAATTGCACTGAAAAACTCGAGATGTACGCACTGCACACGCAGTCTTGATTGCAAATCCAGAAGAAGCGTCCTATATAAATTCACAAAAGTACACGAGGCATAATCAACTCGTATCACAGATTGACGACAATTTACGATGGAAATAATTTTGACGCAACGCTATCAATATCGTGCGGCTATTCGAGAAAGAGGGTATAGCTCTCGAATGAGTATACGGTAACTTGATCCTGACCCACACAAAGGCAGAAATATGAAATGAAAACCTGTCATAGTCAATCATCTCGCTCCGCTGCACATTTACCTGAATCAAAAGAGAAGAATCAGAATACATACCATCTTGGCGGTGAGTCTAACACAGACAACCCTCAAATTTGTTAAGTCTATAAAGATCTATTATGATTCTGACAAAAGTGAATTGATCCGATACCACAAACACCGCTAAATCTTTGTTGTATTATGAAGATTGAGCCTGGGATGCTTTCGATGGCTTCGATAGCACTGCTGCAGGCACACTGAACCAAGGCTGCGTCCTGACCAGGACTGAAGCCGAGCTGATATGGGCGATAGGCAGGGTAGGGATAGCGTCTAGACTCCTTGTGACCTATGTCGACTTCGACTTGCAGCGAAATGCCTCGCTGGGAGCCTTTCTCGCATTGTTCGCTGAGGATGAATCAAGACTCTCTAGTCCGCGCACCTATTTCTGGCACCAAATATTTTCACACAATTGATTATAAACCTATCCCACGAAATTAAACCACCAGATGCAGCCTAGAAATGTGCATGGAATATCTCAATTAATTTTAAGACTATATGTCTCTGTACCTTGACATTGTACGATCACAACGAAGGTTTTAACGTTGAGAAAGCTAGATAAATCCTCCCGCAAATAACTTTTTCACGCTGTAAACATATTTGTTTTCCTCTGTATATTAATGAATAGAGGAAAGAGAATATGTTTAAGCGATCAACGATTGGTAACAGAAAGATCGAGTGCACGAGATTCGCAAAGCTTTCAAACACGGCGACGGACGTAATAACCTGCGAATTCCTTTGTTTGTTTGCAGATATATATATATATATATATATACCTCTTCCGAGCGAGCCGAAGGTGGACTGGTCGAACACGATATCCCTCGATGAAAGGGAAAGAAAATGTTTGTCAGCAACGGCGACCAGGCATTAACTTAAGAGGCTTTTCCAGCCGTATCAATTTTACTGCAGACATCTCCTCATTGTCGGAGGATCTCCCCGGGTTCATTCTCAAATGGGCGGACGGACGCCTTCGATCTGGTCCGCGAAATTTCCTCCTCGTGGCGGCGAAACAGAGCTCGACAACACAATCGCCGTTGACGACGCGCATCGCCGAATCGCATTTCTTTTCTCGTACTCTCCTCGCCCCCTCCGCTTACCGCGAGAACGAAGGCGGCCGCACTCGATCCGTCGAAAGGCGTCGATAATAGTATCGATCGATAGGGATCTTTTGAAATCGTAACGTATAGCTCGACATATTCGAGTTCCATTGTTGTCTCGCGGCGGTGCCGCCACCTATTGCGACGGTGACATCAGTTCGAAATCCGAAGGTAAATCCGTCTTGCCGATCGTGATCTCAGAAAATTTTTAACGTGTTACGATAATTACCGACGTCGCAGAATTTATCGACAGAGCGAACGAGTTCCCCCCCCTTCCCGGTTGGATTTACGTGAGAAAACCTGAACTCACGAAAATTGGTAGAGCACCAAGAGAATACAACCAGCAAGCAGGTCGCGTTGAAATTCACAAATTTTCGAAGATTTCCGAGAATTCCTGGAATCTCAATTTCCAAGATTGAAATCTCGAAAAATAACGAAGTACCGGAAGTATCGGCGATTTTCCAAGAGTCGCGATTTTGAAAAATCGGAATTTCCATGTATATTGACATGTACTGTTACAGGATTGTAGAAAATTTAGCTGTAAAAATTTTCGTTACACTTCGAGTAGACAATATGGCCAGTATTTTTAACGGAAAACGTGACGCATACTTGAAGACAGTGTCATTTAACACCAATTGCAAATAATCCAATTTTACCTCGAAATTTTCAACAAAAAAATATGCATCCTCGCTGTTACTTATTTACGTAGGGGAGTACACGAATCGGGAACGGTTAGAATTGAGATTTAACGAAGCTCATCTTCGCGGAGAAGGAGATTTATGTCGTCGCGTTCGTCCTGATAATTCGCGCGTTCACTTTCTTTTAATTATATGTTAGCGACCACGGGCGCTCCGTCGAATAATTACAACGACGAACGTCATTAGGCAGGCATAAAATGAGGAGGGGAAAGAAGGTTGAGGTGTGCGCAAGGTGCAAATTAAAATTATTATATTTCGCGCCGCGCCCGGTGGTTAGACTTTGCGCGCGCGCTAACGAATTACGAAACGGTTATCTGTATGCTCTGCCAGCCATCACTTCCACTTCCACCGTCGCCGTCGCCGTCCAATTTTATCATTAATGACCTTAACCCTCGTGCCTCGAGAACTGGAAATGTATTAAACCTTTTCCGGCTCGGCGACGACTTCAATCGAGATCACACACGTGAAAATCTTAATCCGAGGGACATTTTCTTTTCTCTATTTTTATTTTTATTCAATTCACAAGATCGCGCCTCCCTTAAAGCCGAGTGAAATTTCCTTAAAAATCTGGTGATTTTTTTTAGCCCCACCTTCTGTTTCGTTGCACAAAAAGGCGTTTCAGCATTTATTAAATAAAACACTCGCTTTGCAACAGAAACATAGAGTGTTTCATATCTTTGATAATATTTCACATACATATAGTGTTACTGAAAAGATTGAAAATACTCGGTTTGCTTGCAGATTCCACAATAAAATCGCGATTCGTCCAGCGTGAAATCGCGTCCGTTTTACGCGGTCTCGCGAATCCCGAGGAAACGAAATACCCACGAGAGTACAAAAGGAACACGCGTTCGACGAGATATTAAGATTTGCCGAAGCGTGCTATATGGTTTTCCCACGTATGTCGCGAGGAATCCGCGTGAGGAATTCGCGAGCGAAAGGCGTCACTTGTTCGCCCCTATGCGAATGATATTAAAATTCACGCCCCTGTGACTTCTGATTTTAAGCACAAAGAAATCGCACCGCGGCTTCCGGTCACCGCCAATATCCAGGCTGTAACGCGTCGCCGAATGTCTGACCCTCATATTTTTGTATCTCTGTACAGCTCTGTGCTTCGGTTTCGTAAAAACGATACCTGGAAGATTCATATAAGTCACTCTTCGTGCCTCGGTGTACTATTGGTAGTCAATTAGTTTTGTAAGGAGGCAAATGGGCAAACTGTGCGAGCAAAAAAGTTGTAGAAATTAATATTTCATTCTCCAGTAATTGGTAATGAAGCTGCTAGATTTGTCCAAATGGCATTTGGATAAAGAATTTGCGAAAAACTTTCCTTTTAATTTGCTTATGTACACATAAAACTACCATGTCCCAAAGATTTTAAGAGCATGTTTATGATCCTAAGACATCCAGACGGGGTCCATTTGTGCCTCGAGCTCTAAAAATGAGCGCGAATAAGAAGGCCGTGAGACGCGATGCAGTTGATAATCGCGAGATCATTGCGATATCATTCACCGCATTGGTGCACATTGCAATTTCAGAAACAGTTGTCGCTTAGGGCCGATACAGGGCCGTTGACTATCGAACCGATATTACCGACGAAAGTGCACCAGTATCTCGGACATAAATTACGGAATGACTGGATACGTAAGCGAAGAAAATGTTCTTTCCACACCTTAAGATGATCCTGTTTGTGGCACATCCGAGTGGAAAAGTTTACAGAGATATTTTAGTACGGCTATCATGCTAAAGCGTGATTTTGTATTTCACTGTGAGTTTTAACAGTCTTCTTCTTATGTTAAGGCCTGTGTCCACGATGCTAGAACTTGGTCTAATTGTAAGTGTTAGTCCCGAGAAATGTGTAGCCAATCAACTTGCAGCTTTTATGGAATAGCTGCAGATTGGCTACACATTTTTCGAAACTAGAATTTGGACCAAGTTCCAGCATCGTGGACACAGGCCTTTAGAAATGGCACTTGAAAAAAGTCCATAAATGGTCTTGATACGGCGATTTTTACTCGTCTATCTACCCACTCGGATAAGCCACAAGCAGGA